ATGTGCAAAATTAAACCTGACCCGCTTGATTTCAATATCATCGTTGAATTCGAGCAAATTTACACGAACTTAACGCTGCTTAGGAAAGAAATGGGAACAAAGATAATCGAAAAGCCACTGGATTACACCAATCTTCTTACTACAAAGATTAATGGGGTACTCCCTAAGCGTCTTCTGGTAGAAGGTGAAGGTGGAGTTGGTTAAAACGACCTTCTGTTCAAAGATTGCATGGGACTGGGTCAATGGATCTTCAGAGTTTCAGCGCTTCAGTTGGGTTTTGGTTATACCCCTGCGCAACGTTGTCAAGGGTCAGACAATTGGTGATATTATGAAAAACTATCTCTCTGACAATAATGCTGTACACCCTAAGCAGATCGATAATTACATATTGTCTCAACCTACAAAGGTTCTGATTGTACTTGATGGACTCGATGAGTATGATGGGGACCTCTCTGTCAAAGAAAGCTCAGACATTTCTCAGATTCTACGATTGGAGAAATTCAAGAAATGCGTAGTTCTGGTGACAACAAGACCATGGAGGGCGGATAAGATCAAATCCAACGAAGGATTGAGTAGGTTGTATGCTTTCATTGCGGTAAAAGGATTTAGTGCTAAAAATGTGTCGACATACATTAGCAAGTACTTTGTGAAAGATGAAAAGGCGGGATCAGAACTAATTCGGTTTATTAATGTGAATGATGTAATCAAGCTGAACATGACTCCCTTCCCAATTTACGTAGCAATGCTATGCATCTTATGGGAAAATTGTGACAGTGAGAAACGAGAAATAATACGCAGACTGAAGACATTTTCTCAATTATTTGAACAAATGATCATGTTTCTACGAGACCATTATGTATCAAAGGTTGCCAAAGTGTTAAATGAAGATCTAGACAAGGAAATGGAAGATACCAAGCTTTGTTTGCAAAGAATAGGATCGATTGCCTTCTCAGGACTCCTGAAACAAAGATTGGTTTTTAATGAGGAGGACTTCAGCTCGTGTAAGAAAGCCATGGAGAAATGTTGCAGAATCGGAGTTCTAAGCCGGGAAAATCGAAAAGTATCCAGATGGAAAAGAACTTTGACTGCTTCACAGCCTATAACCACTTGTGTCTTCTTCCCTCACAAATTATTTCAAGAATATATTGCGTCTGTTTATCTAGCCTCTCTATATGACACAAATCGCGAAGAGTACAGTAGGTCGATGGGCGAAGTACTGAACAAGAACCCACAAGAATTCCGTTACCTCTTTTATTTCACCGCTGCACTGGGAGAAGAGGTGGGACTTGATATTGTCAAGAAAATACAACAAAATGATGTATGCCGTAGTAAAAATATTCCAGCCCTTTCAAGAGACAGGCAAGGTGACTTCGCATACGAACAATCAAGAAAGACATACGATAATTTTCTTGTAGATGTCACTTTTGAAGCGTATAACAAAGACACGGCGAAAGCAGTAGGACAACAGTTATTTGAAGACGAGAAAATGTTGACCATCGATGAAATCATGCCTGCTCACACAATTTCTGGTTATCTATACATCATGGAACAGCATGGAATGGTATGTAATAGTATAGAGATATCGACTGCTACGAGAGAACTGGCTGTTCTAATACGCTCAAGGGCGCCTGGGTGGGCGGCGCGCCGAGGGGTGATGACAAGATGCAACTTTCCCGCGAGCCAGTATAGAAACAGCCAGTCCTCGAATATTAAAGCAGTTGATATCCCTTTTATATACCGAATTGACACAAAAATCTACCGAGAATTCTTACCTTATCTTTCTTGAGTAAAGATTGGTTAAAACATCAAAGAAAATCTGAGACACTGTCTGTTAATCTTCGCTGGAAAATTGACTGAAAGTTTCAATCATTTGGGAATCGAAGACAAAAAGCACTGTATGGGTGTCCGCGCTCGCACAAAGACAATTTAAACACGTAAACCAATGGGGATCGCATTATATGAAGGCACTTTTCAAAAGACTAATGACTGGTAGGCGGGTATGAAGGCACTTTTTTTTAAAGACTATTGACTGGTAGGCGGGGCATGGCTAAAATCACGACTTCAATTTCGACCAATCAGATGGCTAGATTTATAAAGTGAGGTATGTAATATCGTTTATAGATTGCATATGAGGATCCTAAACCTCTGATAGGTTGAAACAGCAGGCACGAAAACCACTACTGACTGCTGGGCAGTATAGCGAAAAATATTGAATCTGCATAGTTCAAAGACGCAATGGTTCTCGACAGTGTCAGTGAATTAGCACAATGAAAAACGCGCTGTTAATTTAGACGTGCAAAAACTGCAAATAAATACATTTTGACAGGTATTTTTGTCAAAATATCTTTTTTTCAGAATTGATTGCCGGGATGCGGTGTATAAAACAAATACTGCCTATTGTTCGGGTCACGCTTAAAACTATAGCTCCTCTGTGATCTTGAGACTGTACTATGTCTCTCGACCTTGCCTCGGGCACCATACAGTTTTCAGATCACCTCGGGAAACCATGTCGCTCAAAGCAATCAATATTTGCATATTGTTGAATGTAGGACAATTAACTATAAAAGTGTGTGTATCTAGAACAGTGTGTGTAGCCGGCATATAAACCTCCATTACAACTATAAATCTTATCCAATGTTGTAATAATTTCTTTCATAAATGTATGTAAAAAAAAAACGAAAAAAGAATGCCATTCAATTGTAGATTGAATGAAAAGTGGGTCCATGAATCTATTTTGGTTCATGGGTATATTTCATAACCACTGGGTGCATGTCGGCTCCATTGAAAGAAACATAGCGACCTAATCATTACACTGTTGGTCATAATGGTGAAATAATTATTTTTACCTCAATTTATTGAATGATTTTGACAATGATTTATTCCTAATAGATCTAGATAAAAGTATACATTCTCATATTTTATTGAATGACAATTGGGAAGTGTTTGCATGGACCTACAGATTTTTTTCCTGTTGGGGACTGGGGGAACATGCAATGAATTATTGAAAATTTGTTGCATTTTCTTTGTTTTTTGGGGGGCGTCGACGTACCCTAGCGCCCGCTGCGTACAATCATGATTCATTGGCTAAGCAATGGCCTCGTTACTGTGACCCCCCAGAATCAAAACCGTGTCGATGGGCTATATTAGTGCCCTTTTATGAGGCATTAATCCCCATTACTGTCAGTTATGACTTAAGGACGTAGGTCCCCTAGTTGATTAGCATAGTAGCACACACATGCTTTAGCAGTCACGCAAAACAAACGCTCCTCAATTGTCATTCAATAAAATCTGAGAATGTATACTATTATCTAGATCTATTAGGAATAAATCATCGTAAAAATCATTCCAAAAATTGGGGTAAAAATAATTATTCCAATTATGATCAACAGTGTACATGTACAACTAGGTAAACACATAGTGGGGTAGTTCTTCATCAGTTATGAATTGTTGTAAGGGAACTGCTGCTTTCATAATGTAAGACACGGTACCCTTTCCTGCACTTGGTCTACAAGGGAAGCACCCAGATAAATCCCTCCTGGCACACACCTACTCTTGTATTTTTCTGCAAGCAATGGTATTATTGTATTATTGTGCTTCTTTGAAAAGATGCTGATATTCAATATAGAAGCATTACTAGGCATTATCTTAGTTGACATTTATTACAAGTTGAACGTCAATGAACTATAACGATAACCTGAGAGAGAATTACATTTATACTGAAACTAGAAAACAAGTTCTGACAATTCAAAAGTATGGCTTTATGTATATGTTTCATGTATAATATACCTATGCCTATATAACACATCAGGATCATTTTAGCAATAAGAAATGTATAGAAATAATAACATGTTTATGTCTATTGCAGGAGACTTTGGTATTCAAAAATCCTTGGAGACCATTTGGCCCGAAGGTATCGCGTGACCTAGCAGATGTCCTATTGACATGCAGCTCATTATCAAGACTAGAGTTTCATTCTACAACATTGGATGATGACTTCTATCAGTTAATACATGAACGAGTTTCTACAATGGCGGTAAATAAAAAAATCATTTAAACAGAATACTAACGATTACAAATTCATCTTTATCACATTAATTTTAGACATGGTACAGTGTGAATTATACTTCCATTTTGTGTTCAAAGACGTTACACTGGGACGTGGCTCGCCGGAACCATTTCATGTTTGTTTGTTGTTTTTTTTTTGGGGGGGGGGAGGGGGGCAACTAGCGTTGATTTGTTTTGCTCCCATATGTGATCTTGTTTCAGAATCTGAGACAAAGTTATGACAAATTACAAATGCATGATAATAACATATAATTTTCTTGTGACGGGGCTCTTACCTGAATTATCGGGGAGGGGGCGTGCAGATGCCAATCTGTAAGCAAAACAGTCTCAATACTTTGGGATTTGTGCTTCCATTAACACCAAAAAACAGGGGGGGGGGGACTCCCTTCTAAAAGTTTTTTTTTAAATCAAATAAAGAAGTTAATAAAAAGTATATGACCGTAAAACAGAATGAATACTAGGAGAAAAACAGGAGTGAGTATGTTTTCTTTGATAAATGATTGGAAAACACAACTCAAATGGGCCGTAAGATATCTATCTTTAGGGAAAACCATATCTGCCTCATCAAGAAAGAGTTGTACTTAAAATGTTTTTCTCTTTCAAAGGAATGGGAATTTCTGTATGTATGGCATTGTAAAACATGACTAAACTGCCATTCGATTTCATAAGATTTTTTTTTTGTATGTGTAGAAAATACAAATCATAACTAGAGTCTGATGTTATTTGAAGATCGACCTTTTAATAATACTCTACATGGTTTTCATTTCGCATACAGGGAGATAATTCCTCAATCAAAGAGCTGGTTGTAGATCATCAATTCCTAAATGCTTTACAGAGGGTTAATAACGGTGACATTAATGTCACCGTTGAGGACCTGTTTCCAAGCTTGACAAAATTGACTTTTTCCACTCTTCATGCTGTCTCACCGGGAGATGTTGAACGGTTGGCACATTCCACACTAGCAGAGTTGTCTATTGAACGTGGAGAGAAAGGGAGAGAATTAGTTCCTCTCATTGGAGAACCTACTTTACTGGGACAACTTTTCTCCAGTTCATTCCCAAAACTCACCTGTCTGACCTTCCAAGAGCTAATAATGGGCAACATACGCAGTGAAGCAATACTACGTAATCTAAAGAACCACCTGCATTTGAAATCAATAAGGTACGTTCAGAGCCATGTCTGTAGAAGTTATCACTATTTCCAATGATAAGAATAGTAAAAATAATGATATTAATAATAATGATAATAATGATAATGATAATAATAATAAATAATAATAATAATAATAATAATAATAATGATAATTATAACAATGTTAATGATAATAATAGTAAGGAAAATAATAATGATAAAAATACAAATTAATGAATAAATAAATCAGTTGAATAAAAAAAAAGGAATAGGCCTATACTATACGTTAAGAAAAAAAATGCGAACAAATGAATTAAATGGATTCAATTTCTGATTCAAAACCCCTCAGTAGCTGGTATATAGCCTGGTTTCAAGGAATCATAATTTAATATTATATCACAGGGTATTTTATTCTTCTTTAATTCATTTAAACATTCAGTGATTCAAAAGGTTTCAATATGTACTTTTCTTTAACATTTATTAAATCATATGTATTATTATTTTATTATTTTATAGTATCATTAGCTGTTTTACGGATGACGAACTGGACCTCCTGGCTAAACAAGTAACTACTGAGAACAGGATGAAAGTTATACTTCAACATGACAAAGTAAATGTCTTTTTCATATCGGCTATGTTTGTGCTAAATAATGTTAAAAAGTGAAATTATGGTACTTAAAGAGAAGTTCACCCTGATATTCAGTCGGTTTTTATACGAGCAGGAACTTGAGAGAAACAAACAAATGAATTTGTGTGCAAAATCTGATAGAGAACAATATAATTATTGGCTATTTTGAGTTGTATAATCGATCAAACACAAATTGACAACGCTATGAAGCTTCTTGCAGGTCATCTCCCAATTCACTCTGTACAAAAACAAATATTTTCCTTAAAGAAATATCACACATATAATAATTCTGCATACAATTCTGCACAATGCCTGTATGAAAAATCTTTCATCAGCAACTAATAAAATTGAAATTTGTTGTTTCTTGTACAGCGCAAATGGAAGAGGATACCAGGGGGCGAATGAATTGGAAGTAATGATTTACTTCTTTTGGAAATCCCATCCCACATCATCCTACTTGAGTTACCATATACAACATACTCGGGTTGTATTTTGGAAACTTTCCAAAATATCCCTAAGTTCTTTGTGCTCACTATGAGGGTGATGTAATGGTATGCACTTATGGGTTTAAACAAAATAATAAACCAGTATGTATTCTTTTCAACAGGCACAAAGGACGTTAACATTTGGATGCAATATGGGACAATTAACAATAGATATAATAGATACACTTTGCCATCGAACGTGTGTCCATCACTTGAAAGTGTTTGAGTATGGCGTAACAATTGCAGGTGAAGAATGTTTTCCAGACTTTCATGGCAGAGAAGTGGATTCAAAGGTTAGTGAAACAGTGAAGCAGCTTTCTTACACTTTTACCACCCTCCCCCTCTCTCTCTCTCTTTCTTAGTTTGCACCTCTTCCTTGACCACGAAAGCTCTTTTTTTGCTTACTTTCTTCTCCCATTTTCTTCTATTCTTTCAATTTCTCTCTCCTTCTCTGAGCTCTTTTATAATTAGATGTCCGTTAACAGAAATATATGTTATTTCTTTTTCATGTCGAAATCTTAATTTTTGGATGAATAGGTGATGATGTCTAAACTAATCCCCACTAGTGAGGAGAGCCTTCAAGTCAAACCAGATTTATTTGGATTATCCTAGACATTATATCTTTTCGTTTATTGTTCTCCAATGATTCATTAGTGTTCTTTCATGCTGACCTTTGTATTCTTTTCTTGCAAATATGTAAAGAGGGAAAGAAAAATTACATATTCTGACTATTAGTGTAAAAACCTCATTGTGATTATCACGACATGAATTTTACCCAGAAAATTATATGATAATCTAACGGGCATAAGACCCTACAGCATCTTGTAAATTCCGAGAGACAATACACATTTTGGTTAAAATCCAAAAGGTTCAATCCAGATTTGTTTCATTTACAGGTTTTTGTGTACGTTTTCCATATGATATGATAGGATAGGGCCATAATCTTTTGGATGCATACCCTTGAACACGAAACCTTTGTAGCACTCATTTGCAACACAACAAACAAACAAATTGTAATAAATTGCTCTAAATCACAAACTATTCGAGTATTCATATGGTGTAACCGATTATCCGGATTACCATTACATTTCTCAGGCATACCGATGTCTTATTCTTTTTACCCTTTTTGCGTGAGGGGGGGGGGGGGACACTGAGTTACAGACTGAAGGGTTTCCACTATCTTTTATCAACATTCCCTGTCTCATGACTTGCCGGCGTATACCGTATTTCGAACGTATTACCACTGATTCAAAAGTTGAAGGATGAATACTTGAAATTTGTATTATTATTACTCTAAAACAAAACAAAAAAAAGGGGGAGGAACTTAAGACTTTCTCTCTTTGTATACAAGATGACCAATCAGTATCCTCTTGTCTGGAGGAGTTACTTTGTCTCCAGAATAGAGCACGAATTTGTATATATATATATATATATATATATATGTATATTTTCATTATGTGGATATATTCATTTTATATGGAAATTAAAAACCAAAAAATCAACCAAATAGTGAGTGTTTTGCTCATCAGACTTTTTCCACCCCCTTCAAAATCCCGGATCATCCCTGTGATTATGTGATTGCTCATTATCATAAGGGTTTCCACTATTTTCCACATTTACTGTTTCCTAAACTATGAACGACCTTTGCCCCTCCCCCTTTGCCGACTGCGTGTGGCTTCCTTTTCTTCGTCATCTTTGTTATTGAGCATGAAATATATTATGTTTTTGTTAATGATTTAGAAATAAATTTGAATTAAATTTAATAGAATTGAATTGAATTGATTTTTTTTATTTCCACAGATTAAAAGGTTAAGTATTAGAGGCTTGAAATTACATGATAACCAATTAGTATCCTCTAGTATGGGGAAGTTTGTCAGTCTACTGCCACATCTGACAGACCTGGGCATTGAATCGTGTGACCTTCACGATGATTTCTACAAAGAATTTGCTAATCGAGCTTCTTCTAATCAGGTAAAATGTTTTATTTTTTAAAGAAGCAGATAAAAAGAGACGGGTAGTTTTTCTTTTTTATAGCCCAAGGTTGCGGGATAGGAATACGAATAAATTGGAGTAAATATTTTGTATACTTTTCCATGCGAATAATATTTTGTCACTAACCAGGTTAAATACCTGAAAATATAATTATTCTCTACCAAAAAATAGAAAAACGATAGACTTTTTCAATATATACACGATGACCAATCAGCATCCTGCTTTCTGGAGGAATTACTCTGTCTCTGGAATATAGCTATCCAGTTGTAATTATAAAAATTGATTTGTATATTTTGGGTATGTTGATATAATTCTTTGTTCATTAGCTTTTGTTTCTCATGTAAAATGAAATGCAATCTGAGGGAGCTGCAACCATTAGAAGCTTTGATTTTTGTTGATTTCCTTTTCTTTGTTATGATCTATGATGTTGAACATGATTGATATATTTCGTATTTGTTAATGATATTTATGATTTACAAGTAAATTTGTATTGAACTGCATTGCATTGATTTGAGTTTTACTGAATTGAATTAAATTAAATTGAATTAACTTAAATTAAACTTAATTGAATGTAATGTTTGTATTTCAACAGATTCAGAAGCTAAGTATTAGAGACTTTGAATTACACAATAACCAATCGCACTCCTACTGTCTCGGGAAGTTTCTCAGTCTCTTGCCTCATCTGACGGACGTAGAGATTCGCTCATGTTCCCTTCATGATGATTTCTACAAAGAATTTGCTAATCGAGCTTCTTCTAATCAGGTAAAATGTAATTAAAAAAAGAAGCAGTTAAAAAGAAATGTGGAAATTTTTAATTTTCAAAGCTTGAGGTTGCGGGATAGGAATACGAATAAATTGGAGTAAATTTTCGTTATACTTTCCCATGCGAATAACACTTTGTCACCAACCAGGTTAAATACTTGAAAATATTATTATTACCTTACCAACAAATAGAAAAACGATACATTCTTTCAATAAATACACGATGACCAATCAGCATCCTGCTTTCTGGAGGAATCACTTTGTCTCTAGAATACAGCTATCCAGTTGTAATGCTGATAATAGATTTGTATATTTCTGATATTTTGATACAATTCTTTGTGCATTAATTATATTTTCTCATGTAAACTGACATGCAGTCTCATGGAGCTTCACCTATTAGAAGCTGTGTTTTCTTTGTCATTATCTTTGTTGTGGAACATGTTATGTATGTTGTATTCGTAAATGATTTTTATGATTTAGAAATAAATTTGAATTGAATTGAATTGGAATGAAATGAGTTGAAATGAATTGAACTGAATTGTTTTTTATTGAGTTTAACTGAATCAAATTTAATTTATTTAAATTTAATTTAATTTAATATTTGTATTTCCGCAGATTCGGACGTTTTTTGCTGATGGATTGCACCTACACAATGACCAATCACAATCCTACTGTCTCGGGAAGCTTCTCAATTTCCTACCTCATCTCAAGGACCTGGACATTGCATCATGTGACTTTCATGACGATTTCTACAAAGAGATTGCTGATCAGGCTTCTTCATCTCAGGTAAAAAGTATTTTAAAAAGAAGCAGATAAAAAGAAATGGAAATGTTTATTTTTTAATGTCTAAGGGTGCGGGATAGGAAAACAAATAAATTAGAGTAAATATTATTTACACTTTTCCATGAGAAAAACACATAGTTACCATTCAGGGTAAATACTTGAAAATATTATTATTACTCTACCAATAGATAGAAAAACAATAGATTCTTTCTATATATACATGACGCCAATCAGCATCCTGCTTTCTGGAGGAGTAACTTTGTCTCTGGAATACAGCAATTTAGTTGTAATTCTGATGATTGATTTGTATAGTTCTGATATTTTGATACACTCTTAGGGAGCTGCACCCATTAGAAGCTTTGTTTTTTGTTTGATTCCTTTTTTTTATTATGATCTAGGATGTTGAACATGATATATATATATTTTGTATTTGTTAATGATTTTTAGGATTTACAAATAAATTTGATTTGAACTGAATTGAATTGATTTAAGTTATACTGAATTGAATTAAATGTAATTGAATAGACCAGTTCGTAGTTAGCACATGGGTCATATGACCCCAAATATCCACATATCTTGTAAACATAGATAAATCCAACTTTGTGCCTTTTTGATGGAGGCGATTCTTTGTTTGCCCTCTTGAAAAGATTTTTTCAACCTGTATTCAATAGAATGCATCACAGGTGCATGCATGAATAATGATAAAATAACTTTCGTGAGCATGTATCCAGTATTAGTCTCAGTGGGTTTTACAATTTTGTTCAAGTGACCTTTATCTGTGTATGCGGAGATCAATCCGCGTATGCTCAGGTTGTATCTACGACCTGGTATATTGAATTAGGCTTGAATTGAATTTATTTTCATTTAATATTTATATTTCAACAGATTACCTCTTTAGGTATTACAGACTTAAAATTACATGATAAGCAATTAGCATCCTGTTGTCTGGGAAAGTTTCTCAGTCTCCAGTCTCGTCTGATAGGCCTGGTGATTATGAAATGTTCGCTTCATGGTGACTTCTTCAAAGAGATTGCTGATCGAGCTTCTTCATCCCAGGTAAAACGTATTTATGAATTATATTTTCTCATGTAAACTGACATGCCGTCTCATGAAGCATCACCCATTAGAAGCTTTGTTTTCTTGGTGATTATCTTTATTGTTAAACATGATATATATTTTGTATTTGTTAATGATTTTTATGATTTAGAAATAAATTTGAATTGTCATGAATTTAATTGAATTGAGATTTACTGAATTAAGTTGAATTGATTGAATTTAATATTTGTATTTCCACAGATCCGGGTGCTCAAACTTTACGGCTTGAACCTACATGACGAACCGTCAGCATCTTTTTGTCTGGGGAAGTTTCTCAGTCTGCTGTCTCATCTGACATACCTGTCGATTGACTCATGTTCCTTTCATGATAATTTCTTCAAAGCGATTGCTGATCGAGCTTCTTCGTGTCAGGTAAAATGTTTTTTTTTTAAAGAAGCAAATAAGGAAATGGAAAAAGTTTCTTTTTTAAAGCCTGAGGTTGCGGAATAGGGATATCAAAACATTGGAGTAAATATTCTTCATTCTTTTTCGTGAGAATAACACTTGTCGCCAATCAGGTTAAATACTAGAAATTAGAATTATTACTCTACGAAGACATAGAAAAACGATTGACTCTTTCTATAGACCCATGGTGACCAAATAGCATCCTGCTTTCTCGATGAGTTATTCTGTCTCTGATATATATTTCTGATATTTTGATATAATTCTTGTTCATTATTTATATTTTCTCATGTAAACTGGCAT